ATAAAACTACTTATAAAACTATTCCTTAAATCCTGCTGCCATTTAATCTGATAATACCTCAGTTCTAACTTTCCAAATCCCTTTTTAAATGTTCCACTAGGCAGCACATAAATAAACAGAAATATTTAAATCTATCAAGTCATGCTAGGAAAGCTGTATTCAGTAAAACTTATTCAAGATCAAATAATGAAATTAAAATGCATAAAACGTTTATAAAACAAACAGTCCACTCACAGATACTCTGAGCTAGCTGGACCCTTTGAAGGTCCCTCCTGCGGGTCACCTGGTGCCCGGGTGCCTGTATAACCATCATAATATTTTATTAAAAACTCTGCTCAGTAATATAATATTAAATTAAAAACCCTGACCCCCGGCTCCTAAAAATGCGTGCATCACTTTAAAGGTCATTCCTATGTCCACACTCACTTTCCTCTCAGTTGACACGATTTAAAAGTACCTAGGGACTCAAAAGCGATAAAATTCCCAAAAGTCAACTCGGGACCCCGTGGGGTCCACGACCTCAGAATTCCGATCCGATCGTTCCTAGAGGTTCCAATAGGCCTAGGACACTTGTCCCAAGAGTTTGGTCTCGATCGGATGGTCGGATTGCTCACAATTGTACGATCGGACTAATGAATGATTTTCCGTAAACCTAGTCCTAGGGTTGGCTTTTTCGGAGTATCCGGGACTCCGATTGACGATCCGTCGAATCCTACACGATCATTAAAATACCTAGATCAACATCCTCCAGTTTGGCTATGATCCAACGGTCCGAACGTATTGAACCCGAAAAACGCACACTATGCGAGATCCGTTCGGGGTTCAAACGTTATCCGAATTGAGATCCGCGAAAACCTACGCGCTCGTGAGGACACGAGGATCGTTCTGGGACCAAGAATGGCCCCTGCTACCTGGCCCACGCGCCGCCCACGTGCCGGCAGCGCGTGGGTGTGCATAGTAAGTTCCGGCGGCCGGAAAATCTCCAAACCGCCCGCCCAAACTCCTATCCTAAGTAAGACACCCTATTTGGAACCACTTTTGTTCTCGGACTATGGCCAAAAAGTGGCCGGAAATGACTGAAAACGGCGACGCAAACTGGCAGAACTTTCAGCTCGAAATTTAACCAATCAAACCTCAAAATTTCTCAAAACCTACCCAACCATCAGCTAGAACGTGAAAATCAGTCGAAAAACCATACCTAATTCGTCCGATTCGGTGACCGGAGGAGGGAGAACGAGGGTTGAGAAGTTTGAGCAAAAACCAGCCCGTTTTTCTGCAGGGTTGAAACTCGCGGCGGCTGACGGCTGGGCTGCCGAGGTGGCTGCGATACTTCCTTGGCCGGTCTGGTGGCCGGAGGTGGTGAGTGGCTGGGTGTTAGTGGCGGTTTGGGATGTTGGCTGGAGCAAAAGAAGAACAGGGGAGGGGGAAGTTTCGCGAAGAAGAAGAAGAGGAAGTGAGGAGAGAGAGAGAATCAGATTAAAAAAAATCTGATTTTCGCAAAAAAAAATACCATTTTGCCCTTTTTTTCGTATTTTGATTGTATTTTCTTCGTTACAAGTCCGATTCGAGTCCACTACGTGTCTACGGACTCGTTTTGTCGTGCTCTACGCAATGGTACAAGTGGATTTTCCAAAATCCTTCCCGGTCAAAAAGTCAACTTAAAATCAAATAAAATACCTCAAGGGCATAATTGTCTTCTCCTCTAATAAATTATTAATTAAATATTAATTAAGGTTTGGGTTGTTACAGCTCTGGTATTGGTTGGGGCTAGGAGGAGAGGACTGAGGGAGAATGAGGTGGTGGGTGGTGGGTGAGGAACGAAGGTGGGGATGTTGTAAGAGAAGGAGGAGGAAGAAGAAGGATGGAAATAATGAAAACAAATGTCCAACTATGGAGACCATACCAATGAGTCAAAGAATTTCAAGAATGCAAATCAAGCCAATATCAAAGAATTTCTTTTAAAACTCTCATCATGGATCCTTTGTTCCAAAATTTCAAATTCATCTCAATATCCTATTCCTAAAAATTATGGAAAAATATTAAATTAATTTATTATAATATAATATAACACTTATTATAATAAAAAAATTTGGGGCCCCCTTGAGTAATGGGCCCAGGGCAGTCGCACTGACTGCCCCTAGGCAGGGCCGGGACTGGGAAGAAGAAGGATGGGTGGTGGAGATGCTGGGTTTGGATTTAGGGTTTGATGGGTGGAGAGAAGAAGGAAGAGGAAGAAGGATGGGTGGTGAAGATCTGGGTTTGGATTTAGGTTTGACAATAGGGTTTTTTAAAATCAATATTATGTATTATTATTATTGATTTTAACAATATTATTGATTTTTTTTAAAATGACATGTATTTACCTAAATCCAAACCCAATAATACATGTATTTACAATCAATATTATGTATTATTGATTTTAACAATAGTTTCATTGATTTTGCCAATCCGACAATATTTTTAAAATCAATATTATTATTATTGTCATTTTAATTATGTTTTTTTTATAAAAAAAATAATTGATTTTAATTAACTTTAAAAATAAAGAATTTTTTAATATTATTTGTCCTATATTAGTCTCTTTCTAACTGCTGTTTGGTTATGAGATGGGTCCCACGACTGCCACGTCAGCATTTAACGTCTGATTTTAACGGTCAATGTAACGGCGGGTGTAAATTGGTAATACTTTGAAATGTCGGGTATGAAATTGATTGAATTGAATCCTTGGGGCCCATTTCGATATTGACACTAAACCTACAGGGACTAAAGTGTAGTTAATCCATAAAAAAATGATGAATTTTGTGGCAGTCTTCCTGGTTGTGAGCTTGCTGGCCAGCGCTGGAATGTGGTCTCCGAGCCCACAAAATGAAAATCAGAACCAGCAGAAGAAGCAAGGAGATCATCAGAGGGAGGTTACTTATCAAGTTAAACTTATCAAGTTTACACACAAAGCACCCTCATAGGTAAACTTATCAAGTTTCAAACCAGCCATTCTTGCCAAGAGGTTGGGATGGGTTTGTGTACTAGGTTCCTCAACCTCACTTGGAGATGTTGTTTTTGGTACTGTTGCAAATGTAGCTGCAAAAAGTACTGTTGCAGTTGCTGAGTCGTTTTGGTGGGTGATTTGGGGTTGTGATATTTTCATGAATTGGTTAATTAAATGGATCCTCAACAAACTTTTTCTTGTCGAAATTCTTCCTAGATTTTGATTGCTTTATGAATTGGGTGCTGATTTGGTTATTATGTGTTTCTTGTCAAATAAATAACCATTTTCAAGCATCAATTTTTTTTTTTTGGGCCAAAGTTAGGATGGGGATTTCTTACACACATACTACAAAGTCATGGGTGTTCGAACATGACACCGCTAATTTGCAAGTTAATGTAATTTTTTACTGAGCTAGATCCCTTCGGCATATTGAAGCATAATTAATTCATAACAAGCTACCAAATTAATAAATACATAAATATACGGATTGTTATAAAACTAAAGATATTGTGGGGAGAGTATAGATAAATTAAGCTGTAATAGAAATCTGATATTTTATTGAATGAGTAATCATGCCTTCCACTTCCACAGTACTTTCATCATGATATTCTTCATTATTTCCAAATATGTGGAATCCACTCAAGACTTTACAACACGAACTAAATAATAAAGCTAATTTTGAAACACTAAAAATTCCAACAACCGATGATTCTTGGTGATACTCTAGAATATTTTATTTGAATAATAAACCACCAAATGAATAAAAGCATAAATTTAAGATTAAATAATAGAGCTAATTTTGAACCACTAAAATTCCAACATGCTTAAAGAATATCTTACTCCAATAAATAAATAAAACCATTTCCCCTTTTTCTTATGATTATGATTATATGTCCCAATCTCAGGGTAAAGATCCCCAACATAAAAACGAAATGAGAAAACAAGAAAAACAAAAGCAAAAAAGAAGAAGACAACCTTCTATTATTATTGATGGTCAGAATCAGCCAATCACTGTCAACTTTACATTAGCGATTGTCGTTTTGGTGTACAAGCTGTGCCCTCGTGCTTCACCTAATTTTCTCAGAGTTGAATTTCCGTTCCATTACTTTGCGTGAAGAGTATTTCAAAACCTCACCAGAGGACAGAAGCCAAACACAAATCAACCAAAAGCCATGGAAAAAGACACAATAGTCCTCTACGCAGCTCCAGGAATGGGGCACATAATCTCCATGGTTGAGCTAGGCAAGCTCATTCTCAATCGCTACCCCGAAAAATTCTCCATCACTATTCTCTACACCTGCGGCAGCGTTGTGGATACTCCAAGCATCCCCGCCTACATCCACCGCATCTCCCAAGCCCATCCTTCCATCTCCTTCCACCAATTCCCTCGAGTTCAAAATGAAAATAAATCATTAATTGGCTGCAGCGGCGCTGCCATAATGTTCGATTTCATCCGCCGGAATGATCCTCATGTCCGCCTTGCCCTCCAAGAGATCTCCAAATCTTCAGCGATTCGCGCTTTTATCATCGACCTCTTCTGCTCCTCAGCGCTGCCAATGGCGAAGGAACTCGGCATTCCCACCTACTACTTTTACACCTCTGGCGCTGCAGCTCTTGTGACTTTTCTGTATTTCCCTTACATCGGGGAACAAAGCACCAAGAGCTTCAAGGATCTAACCGAGACTGTTTTCGAGTTTCCCGGGTTCAAGTCTCCTATCAAGGCCCCCCACATGCCTGAGCCAATGCTTGATCGAGACGACCCTTCGTATTGGGACATGCTCTACTTTTGCTCACACCTTCCCAAATCTAATGGGATCATAGCCAACACGTTTGAAGAGCTGGAGCCTCCTGCAGTCCTCAAAGCCATTGCTGGAGGTCTTTGTGTTCCTGATGCTCCCACTCCTCCCTTCTTCTGTATTGGGCCGTTGATTGATGAAGAAAAACAATCTGGTGATGCCGCTGAGGCGGAAGTTTGTTTGTCATGGCTTGATAAACAGCCAAGTCGAAGCGTGGTGTTTCTTTGTTTTGGAAGCATGGGATCATTCTCGGGAGCTCAATTGAAGGAGATGGCAGATGGGTTGGAGAAGAGTGGGCAGAGGTTTTTGTGGGTGGTGAAGAAGCCTCCTCTTGATGAGAAAACCAAGCAGGTCCATGGAGTTCATGACTTTGATTTGGAGGGTTTGTTGCCAGAAGGGTTCTTGGAGAGGACCAAAGATAGGGGCTTGGTGGTGAAGTCATGGGCTCCGCAGGTGGCAGTGTTAAAGAAGGAATCGGTGGGCGGGTTTGTGACGCATTGTGGCTGGAACTCGGTGCTTGAAGCAGTGATCGCCGGCGTGTCGATGGTGGCGTGGCCGCTCTATGCAGAGCAGCACATGAATAGGAGTGTTTTGGTGAAGGAAACGGAGTTGGCGATTGCTGTGGAGCAGAGAGAGGAAGATGGGTTTGTATTTGGGGATGAACTGGAGAGAAGGGTTAGGGAGCTGATGGAGTCGGAAAAAGGGAGAGAGCTTAGAGAAAGGAGCAGGAAAATGGGAGAGATGGCTTTGGCTGCTTGGGGTGAGTCTGGTTCGTCCACTAGAAACTTGGTCAACTTTGTTAATAGCATTACATAAGTTCCGGCTAGGAGGCCTTTGAACACGGTGGATCGTAGTGCTGCTGTGTCTTTCTTTTTCCCCTCCTAGTTTGTCTTTGTATTGCATTTTGGTTTTGCTGTCCCCCCTGTGGCTTGGACTTCCTTGTTTGTTGCTTTTGTATTTTTCCTGGGTTTGGTTTCTTGGCTACCCCCTTCTCGAGGTTAACAAATTTTCACTGTATATATAATCACAATCCGAGCCGTCATCTTCTTGTATGTAAAATATCAATGAAATTGGAGATCGGTATCCCCAATGGTTGGGGCTCTAAAAAGGATTTATAGAGCCCCATTTAGAGCTCCGATGGAATCTTTGGGGCTCTAAAGGAATCTCTCCCACAATGGGGGGCTCTATATTCATGGCGGGCTCTATATTTTTTTTATGATGTAATTTGATTTACATGGTTTTTTTTTTTTGTTAACTATTTTACTTTAATGTTTATTCATGTTATGTTAGTTTTTTTTTGTGTGAACATTTCAACCAAAAAAAATCAAAATTTGGACAAGATTTGGAAATCAACATTTATTTCATAGATACAATGGTCATCCCAAAGTTGGATATGGATCCCTTGCAAAGAACTTGCAAAGAACGTGGGCCAGCATGCAAATCAACAATCAATTTTGTAAATTTGTTTTATATGGGCCAACATGCAAAGAACGTGGGCCAGCAGCAAATCAACAATCAAATTGAAGGCAAGTATGCCTTGTACAGTCGCAGGCAAGTGAGAAATAACACAAAAGTGGGCTGCAGCTTTTTCAGTTGGTGGGTCCCACTCGATTTCATGAGCTTCAACCAAGGTCATACATTTAGCTACTACTCCGGCTGGGCTTTAAGTTTTAGAGCCCCAAATTTGCACCATT